GGTAGTAGTAGTGGTGGTGGTTGTTATAGAAGTGGTAGTAGTAGTGGTAGAGGTGGAAGTAGTTGTAGTGGTGGTAGTAGTAGTAGTAGTAGAGGTAGAAGGAATAGTAGTAGTAGTACTTGTGGAGGTGGTGGTGGTAGTGTTGGTGGTAGTAGTAGTAGTAGAGGTAGGAGGAATAGTAGTAGTAGTACTTGTGGAGGTGGTGGTGGTAGTAGTAGTAGTAGAAGAGGTGGTGGTGGTGGTGGTAGTAGTTGTAGTGGTGGTGGTGGTAGTAGTTGTAATGGTGGTGGTAGTAGTAGTAGAGGTAGAAGGAATAGTATTAGTAGTACCGGAGGTGGTGGTAGTAGTAGTAGAAGTGGTGGTGGTGGTAGTAGTTGTAGTGGTGGTGATGGTGGTGGTAGTAGTTGTAGTGGTGGTGGTGGTGGTGGTAGTAGTTGTAGTGGTGGTGGTGGTGGTGGTTGTGGTGGTAGTAGAGGTAGAAGTAATAGTAGTGGTAGTGGAGGTAGTGGTAGTAGTAGTGGTGGTAGTAGTTGTAGTAGTAGTGGTGATGATGGTAGTAATGGTAGTGGTGGTAGATGTAGTAGTGGTGGTGGGGTAGGTGGTCTTGGTGGTAGTAGTAGTGGTGGTAGTGGTGGTGGTGGTAGTAGTAGTAGAGGTAGAGGGAATAGTAGTAGTAGTGGAGGTGGTGGTGGTAGTGGTGGTGGGGTAGGTGGTCTTGGTGGTAGTAGTGGTAGAGGTAGAAGTAGCAGAGGTCGAAGGAAAAGTAGTAGTGGTAGTTGTAGTAGTGGTGGTGGTGGTAGTGGTTGTGGTGGTAGTAATGGTAGTAGTGGCGGTGGTGGTTGTGGTGGTAGTAGAGGTAGTAGTGGTGGTGGTGGTAGTGGTTGTGGTGGTAGTAATGGTAGTAGTGGTGGTGGTGGTAGTGGTGGTGGTAGTAATGGTAGTAGTGGTAGTAGTGGAGGTGGTGGTGGTAGTGGTGGTGGGGTAGGTGGTCTTGGTGGCAGTAGTGGTAGAGGTAGAAGTAGCAGAGGTCGAAGGAAAAGTAGTAGTGGTAGTTGTAGTAGTGGTGGTGGTGGTGGTGTTGGTAGTAGTTGTAGTGGTGGTGGTAGTGGTAGAAGTAGTGGTGGTGGTGGTGATGGTAGTAATGGTAGTGGTAGTGGTAGTTGTGGTGGTGGGGTAGGTGGTCTTGGTGGTAGTAGTGGTAGAGGTAGAAGTAGCAGAGGTCGAAGGTAGTGGTAGTTGTAGCAGTGGTGGTGGTGGTAGTGGTGGTGGTGGTGTTGGTAGTAGTTGTAGTGGTGGTGGTGGTGTTGGTAGTAGTTGTAGTGGTGGTGGTGGTGTTGGTAGTAGTTGTAGTGGTGGTGGTGGTAGTGGTGGTGGTGGTGATGGTAGTAATGGTAGTGGTGGTAGATGTAGTAGTGGAGGTGGTGGTAGTAGTAGTAGAAGTGGTGGTGGTGGTAGTAGTTGTAGTGGTGGTGGTGGTGGTGGTAGTAGTTGTAGTGGTGGTGGTGGTGGTGGTTGTGGTGGTAGTAGAGGTAGAAGTAATAGTAGTGGTAGTGGAGGTAGTGGTAGTAGTAGTGGTGGTAGTAGTTGTAGTAGTAGTGGTGATGATGGTAGTAATGGTAGTGGTGGTAGATGTAGTAGTGGTGGTGGGGTAGGTGGTCTTGGTGGTAGTAGTAGTGGTGGTAGTGGTGGTGGTGGTAGTAGTAGTAGAGGTAGAGGGAATAGTAGTAGTAGTGGAGGTGGTGGTGGTAGTGGTGGTGGGGTAGTTGGTCTTGGTGGTAGTAGTGGTAGAGGTAGAAGTAGCAGAGGTCGAAGGAAAAGTAGCAGTGGTAGTTGTAGTAGTGGTGGTGGTGGTGGTAGTAGTAATGGTAGTGGTGGTAGTAATGGTAGTGGTTGTGGTGGTAGTAGTAGTAGCAGAGGTAGAAGTAGTAGTAGAGGTAGAAGGAATAGTAGTAGTGGTAGTTGTAGTAGTGGTGGTGGTAGTAATGGTAGTGGTGGTGGTAGTAATGGTAATGGTGATTGTGGTAGTAGTGATGATGGTGGTAGTTGAAGTAGAAGTAGTAGTAGAGGAAGAAGGAATAGTAGTAGTAGTAGTAGCAGCAGCAGCAGTAGTAGTGGTGGTGGTGGTTGTAGTAGTGGAAGTAGTAGTGGTAGTAGTAGCGCTGGTTGTGGTGGTGGTGGTGGTAGTAGTAGTATTGATGCTGGTGGTGGTAGTAACAGCAATAGTTTGAGACCACCCCCAACTCGGGTGACATTTGCACCTGTGAGAATGCACGGGTCGGTGTGAGGTCATTACCGCAAGCTGTAGGCCGTTTCATACACACCAGATTAGGTAGACTTGCGTTATTTTGATATATGCTACTTTCATAGCCCCTTGATCCGTATTTATTAAATGAAGCGAGGAAAGCAAGTTTCTAGCTTTTCCCACAGCACTTTAGTCTGTGAACAGATGTTGGTAATTGTACATTGTTGCATGTGTCTTAGGCGACACAAGTACGGATCGCACAAAAAGCGTTTTCTGTGTGACTACCGAGTGACCCCGTCCAATTTGTAAAGCGTGTGTACGCTGTGTTTGTATGCTGTAGCATCGTCCGAAAATAAACCCATGTTTGCACACTCACTGCAGGCTCGCAAGCACATTCATGGTTACATCCATGCTCCAGGGTGGCAAACAATATTGAAGGAAACTTTTCTTTCTTGGGTGAGGTGAGATGAAATGGGGTTTAACGTCGCGTCCAAGATTATTGCACTCATATAGAGATGTGCATGCACGTGTGTTTGTGTGGCTGCTTGTACAAGTCCGGACTGATGCCGATTTATAGTGCTAGCTCACTGAGATACCATGCCGCAGTTTAACAATAATATCCCACTCAGACACAGCTTACTCCGAGCCGACCAGTCCTTGTTTTAGCCCTATAATGCCGAGCGACTGACAGGGTAACAACAAGTACCATCTTTTAACGTCTTTTTGTATGTCGCGGCCGGGAATCGAACCCCGGACCTTCCGCTCTCCGGGCGGACACTCTACCACTAGACCACGGAGGCGGTCTCTTCTTTGGACGGTGTTTAACGCACATACAAGTTGGATGAACAGTAGAATGAATGAATGTTTCAATGACTGGATGACTGACAATGAGTGAATATAAGTTTACATTGCTCTCAATTCTCTTTATTCATGTGCATGTAGGCCATTGGCCCATATTACATTGTTACAGAAATTACAGCCGTTTGTCTGCAAGAGTGAAGACGACTAGCATGAAAGATAAACATTGCAATGTTTCTTATTATGACAGGACTTGTAATACACATTAATGTGGTTTATAGAGATGGACATGTACAATATTTATCAAGAACATTAATTTTACGTATGTTATCATAAGCAGTACATATCAGTAGGAAATGGCATCACTTTTCTATACGTATCCACAGAAACATATTTCACATATCATGAGGCTTCTTTGGCTTATTCGTATACATGTATCTACCCGTTTCTATATTCAGTTGGTGTCAGTTGCTTGAGCCAAAGCAACACGGAATTTCTTAATATATATGTGGGGCGGTCGGGTAGCCTAGTTGTTAAAGCGTTCGCTCGACACGCCGAAGACCCGGGTTCGATTCCCGACATGGGGACAATGTGTGAAGCCCATTTCTGGTGTCCCCCGCCGTGATATTGCTGGAATATTGCTAAAAGCGGCGTAAAACCATACTCACTCACTAACCAGTGAACGACAATGGAACACAGCGTTTGGATAGGTTGACACCCAATCAGATAGATCAGACATTGTGGCCGCCTGATCCTCTCCCCTACCTCACAATACCGACAAGATTAACCTAACAGCAACATTTGTCTTTAAGATTTTTGTATGCAGTATAAAAGAAAATTCATCATCGAATTTATTTCTAGCGACTTCAAGGCGAAGCTACCTCAGCGATGTAGAACTACGAAGAAAACAGACAAGTTGACACTAAATGTCATAAAAAAAGTGCTAGCAGGAGATATGATCTTTCTGTGTACGAAAATATGGAATTTACGATTTAATTTGATATCGTGATACAAGTAAATTGCGTGTTAAGCCTGAAAACATGGCTTTATTTCACAATCGGGCTGAGTTTACAGGTCAGCTTGCAGATAACATCTGCATCAGTATCATCACCATCAATATTTAAATCGTCATTGGTATTAACACTAGCGTCTAGTGTGACCATCAGCATCACAATCAGCACAAACACCAGTATCGACACATGCAACATCTGGATCTTGAACACGTGTAGTGACGAGCACACACAGAGATCACACATAGGGTCAGTTCTTTAACTGGTGTATTCCAAGAATCAAACATTTAGGTAGCTGGCTGGGTTTGAACCCTGGACCTCAGAAGTAACAAATGCTTAAATTATGAATTCAAATGATTTACTCAAACAAGGAAGGACACTTATGGACGTTTGTTGATATTTCAAAATATTATAATTAACATATTTTTTTCCGGGGAATCGAGGAGTTCGTCTTACAAAAGATCTAATAAGGATTCTGGTATGGGATACGGGTTGGTTCGAATGATCTAGTGTAGGGGGGAAAGGTGGTTGACCAATGACAGATGGGAAAATGAGTAGAACTGTGACGTAGGTACCGGTTTAAAAAGGGAAAAAAGCCCCCAAATCGGGAAATGTTGGAGAGACACTCTAGGACTGGTGCGCCGCCCCCCCCCCCCCCCCCCCCCCCCTCAGCTTGTCACGGTCTTTCGAACCGGAAACCAAAATTAGGCACCAGCAATTCGACTGAGACTGAAGCTCGTACAGTCAATATTTATATTGGCATTTGTATTGACACTAGCCTCCAGCGTGACCATCAGCATCGCAATCAGCACAAACACCAGCATCGACACATGCAACATCTGGATCTTGGAGCACAATTGACGAGCATACACAGAGATCGGTATCAGGCCTATCATCTCCTATTCCCACCCACCACACCCACCCCACCCCTGCCCTCCCCCATTCTATCACTTTTCAATATGGAGGGGGAAACAGTCAGAGAGGTAAATCTGTAGCTAAAGGTAGAGAAGACAAGGTATGTAAGGCCTAGTTAAAAGTTAAAAACAATGAAGTATAAGGTCTTAAGGGCAATTGCTCATAACCTGTCGTTTTAAGATATGAAATCAAGAACATAGTGTGAAATATTATATAAGGAAATCAAGTATCATTGATTAGGTTTCAATTGTTACGAGGGCTAATAAAAAACTTTCAAAGCCTGACTAACTTTCTTAACTATGGGCCATAATAAAGTGAACTTGTCAATGTAGTACATTGCTTGAGTAGTTCATTGCAAGTGTATTTGGTCTGTTGAGTGACAGCCAGTTGAATGTGATAGGGGTCCAAACGGACACATAAATGGAAAAAACGAGCAGCCAGCAGTCATCAAGTTTTTTGGCTTTAGGGAAAAGTATTCCCCAAGAAATTCATGACCACATGTCACAAGTGTATTGGGATAAGTGCCATAGCTATTCCACTGTTAAACATTGGGCAGCTAGCTATGTTTAAGGATTGGAGAACAAGCCTTGATGATGACCCTGGGTCTTGACGTCACTCAACATCCATCAATGATGATTCACTCAAGGAGATAGAAAACCTTATACTGTCAGATAGACGTATTGCTGTGGAAGACACAGGTCTAAGCCATGGATCCACTGAAACTATTCTTCATGAACATTTACAGATGAATAAGATAACTGCTCGATGGGTGGCAAAGTTTCTTAATTCTTATCTTAAGGGAAAAATAACTGACATTGCCAGAGGACATTTAGAGCTAGTTGAGGAGGATTTCTGGAAAATTCACAAAGAGATTAGTAACGGATAATAAACATGGGTCTACCACTGTGACCACGATTCCAAACGTCAACATAGATTATGTCAAGTCTTTTACATTCCAAAGCACTACGGCAGATCTTTCGGTTGTTCAATGCATTTTCCGTCCTTAAGCCATTGTTTCATATCTGTGTAATAATTTCTCGTAGTATTACAATGTAACTTGGCACACAGCTGACACCTCCAATCAAAATCTGTTCCTTCTGAATTAATGTATTCATACTTGAGCTTCTTTTCCAAAATCGCCCCCATAGCTGTCTCATTCCTCTCCAAATACTTAATATAGTTCGCCAAACTCTTGGGACTGCCAAATGATGCTGTGTTGATGAAGGTTCCTTCTGGCAGTAGACGTGCATAGTCAGCGCCTCCACGAACGATGGGTATAGCTGAAGTCCTGAACGTGTGGTAGAACTTCTCTGTGATGTAGTCTTTACATAGGGAATTTTCAAACGAAAGGTAAAATCTATACGTGGTGTTTAACAGTCCAAGACACTCGAAGGACCTTCCTTTGGGGCAGTCATAACTCTTATTATTTCTGCAGGCGCCATATATGTCGACATCAATATGTTTCCGCAGTTCTCGAACATACACTTCCCTCTTTGAGGGTGTATGACAGTTGCTTACAAACCAAGCAATAGATCGGCTTTTCCGTTTTACAACATCACTTATATTCACACTGACACCAGTGTACACTATCCTATTGTAAGGAAATGGTATATACGAATCCAGTCGGTACGTCAATGTCCAGTTAAAACGACCATTCCAGTCAGGACGGAAAATCGTGTTACTATGATAGTAAGGAGGTGCTTCCCATCCATACATAATCCACACCTGGTTCATGTCCGTGTTTGGGTGTTTTGATGAAGGCAAACCAACACCATTGACAACCACAGCATCAGCTGATGAAATATGTGCCTCGTCTGTACTTATTTCACATGAACGAACATAACAGTGGGCGAAAGATTTGGCTGTCTTGTACCAGGGTGGGACGTTCATCCACACAATGCGTTTAGTTGCATTAGGAGAATCTGCTGAAGTGATGACCACATTTCGTCTATGAAGTACGAGGGGATGCTTTTGAGAGACCTCGAGAATGGACGTTTTTCTTATGGACGTGTTAACGTTTGTTGAATTGAAAGTTTTGAGTTGGAACACATCCACATCTGAATTAATTGTCCAATAGAAAACTGCAGCAGAGAGGGTTGTCATTGACAGACATGTAAACAAACATGTTTTGTAATTCGAGTTCATTGTGGCTGAGGCTGGAAAAAAAGTTGGAAAGAAAATTTTATTATGAGCATGTTTCTAAAAATGTATTTCATCAATAAGTGAAAAGGTTAGATGATTTCTTTTTTATTATTCCATGCTTGGAATAGTTCAAGTTACTCTCTCACACACCTACACAAACACACAGGAATTCGCACACGCACACATACCCATCCCCACACTCACACCTTACATATACACAAAATAAACATTCATAACAACCAGGTGTCACGGTGTCCACGTTTCTGATGTCTGCAACCTTAAAAACCTAATTTCCTTATCACTTCAGTACAATATATCACTGCAAAAAAAATCCATTTATACAAGCTTGTATATGCTTTGGAATGATGATATTTCCAAAGCATATACAAGATTGGAATGATGATATATACAAAAATATACATGATTGGAATGATGATATATACAAAAATATACATGTTTGTATATATGACATATACAAAAATATAAAATTTTGTATATATAATGTATCCAAATTTGATTTCTTTGTATATATTGGTAAAGGGAGATAATTGTTATGTTTTCGTGTATAATTATTATAAATGTGCAAAATGAAGTGTTTTAAGTTGAGCACTGTGTTTCTTTGTGTATGTTGGTAAAGGGGGGACAATTGCTATGTATTGTTCTATAATTGTTTTGTATGTGTAAAATAGTATTAGCAAGTTCCAAAACCAATGATATAGTGGCGTGTAACATTACTGGAATGTTTAATTAGTACTCCACACTGTTAGCGGGAGTACATACTCTCCCTGCAATGATATTGACGGGTAAGCGATTGAGGCGTCTGGTACTTTTCCTGGCGCGGTGCTTGGTATGTGAGTAGACGTTATGATCAAATGCACAGAGAGGATTAGCTGTTGGGGGTGATTGCATCGGCGGTGACTTCTGTGTTGAAAGTGTTGAAATCGATTTGTGCTGAGCTTGGATTCGTTTGTACGGGGAGGCCGCGAAGTGATTTGTAACATGCTCTCGTGCACATAGCAGATTAGCCAACAGAGTGGATTACACAGAGGATGAAAACTATTTTATTTTATCATTACTTAAAAGTGTTGAATTTGGTTTGTTCTGAGCTGTCGGTTTAATTGTAGGGTATACATTGTTATAATGTCAAATGTCGGCGGAACGCGGAAAATCACGTTTTTAAAAAAGGGCAGTCCTTGGAAAAATCCTCTTCAAAATATAATCAAAGATTTTTTTTTTAAATACTCCGAAAATATCGTGTAGCCAGACAACCGTGGCGGATTGTCCTCTTTTCGATCAGAGCCCGCTATCAGTGCTACCCAACCTCTAACTGGACAAGTCCACTTTAGTGGAATGATGCCGATAGGCGACAAAAGACAGAAAATTGTATGAAGTCACTTTTTATTTCACATTGCCATAACACTAACAGTAATAATTTATGATTTCTGCATCATTGCATTAGTTCTTATAGTATACACCAGCAGGTATTTGATGATTTCAAAGAAATCTAATATTGGAAGAGTTCATTCCTAGCATAGGTATGTTGTTTTCATTGTGTAGGCATTATTCAACACTGCTTTATTTTTTTGTAGGCAATAGTAACTGTAGGCAAAGGTGGGCGTAGGCATTAGTGTCTGGAACCCAGGTGGCCGGGTGCGCGGAAGCTGTTCCCGATTTTTTAAAAGTACTGATTTAACTCTGAAAATTTAATGCATCCGCCATCTTTGTTTATTTGACTTTTGCCACTGTTAGATTTGTTGGTATGAATATTGTCCAAACGGTACGAAATTGCTTAAAATGCAATCAAATGTTTAAAACATTTCTGGGGTCTCAGCCTTATATCCTTAGCAAAGTCAACAAACTACGACCGTAAATGTAATGTACAACAGGCGCAAGAAAATTAAAAATATTCTTACTAATACAAATGAATACTTATACCTGTACTTTTTAGAACAAGAAATTGAAACATTGACGTATTCAGATTAAATTCATATTTTCTTTACTTATGTAAATGCAAATGATAAAAACATATTCAACAGTGAGATACTCTGGCTATTGCGCAAAGAATCCAGTCCCAATGAAAGTGAACAGCATGCCGATGTTTTACAAAGCAATCATATAATATATCGCAACTGATAGTTCTTAACAATCAGGCTATCAACATAATGACGGTATCAGTGGGCAAATCGTGGTATTTGAAGATAAAAAATGATAACACATGTCAGCAGTCTAGGAAGTTATACACGACATCCTGACAATGAACAAAAAGAAAAAGAAGAAGAGTTTAGAAGTGTCACTATTTAAACATCCAACCATTTTGGCTTACGAGACAAAATACACATCACACCCCCATAGAAGTACCACGAACACACACATCCGCAAATTCAGTCACTAACCCACCAACATATAAATTACCTACCTACCATCTCTCCAGGGTCCACTTGCACAAAGCGATCTTAGCGCTACAATTATTGTAAATCCTTAAGATCGCGATCTTAGGCTTACGCTACAATTGTCATCCACTTGCACAAAGCGATTGTAGGTTAAGATCATTGTAAGCTACAATCGAAACTTACAATTGGTCCAGACCAATCTTAAGTAGCTAAGATCGTTGTAGTCCCTGACAAAATGGCGTGCAAGACAGGGCCAGTTTCACATTAATAATCTGCTTTACGATCAAACACTGCCTATTTATTTCGTTAGATTTTATGATTCGAATCGACACTTCAACAACACGAAGACCGCACCACAGATTTAACGTCAAAAATATCGTTAATTGCGATAGTGAACCACATAACTATCGAGTCGATAGTTAAAAGTACTATTCCCACCCGTGTCAATGCTGAAAGAAGTCTAAAACAACATACCTTATCAAGGGAAGGATAAAACCTAAGTCGTCTGCAAGCGATTTGTAACGTCCGTGACCTTTAAGATAAATCAAGGGCAGCTAATCATAGTTTATATTCTAGATGGGAGTGGTTTCCCTTTGTATAAGTATCGTAGAATCTTCCTTGCCCAGTTAGTGTATTAATGTTGTAGAACCGCCGAGCTCCCCTTGTATATCTTTTGGGTCACATTCGTGTCAGTTATTTTGTCTTTAGTTTATCATTAAATAATCTACAAGTAAACACAAGTTGAAGTGCAAAATCATACGTTTATATCCAAAATCGAGTGGGACAGTCACGAGCGGTTGTAATATCTGAATTTATAAGAAACTAATACAAATATTCATCAAACAAGCAAATACACATGATGAGACATTTGAAATTTGTGTAAAATATCCCATAAATAGCAAAAGTAAAATTCACACTTTTTAAAAAATATAATTAATACCAAATGAATATATATTAAACAACTTCTTTCTTGAAACATTATTCTTATTTCCCGTACATGCATTCTTGAAATCTCCCGTCTTATTGTGTTTTGAAAAGGTTGTCATAACATCCTTTGTAATAGCGGCAAAACTAAAACATGAAGGATATACATGTATTTAGGATTTTACGGAAAGCTCCCCCAAATAGATGACGATCATACATTTACCTGTTATGTTATTTGGACATAGAGATCTATTATTATTTTCTTTTTTTACTTTCATAATAAGAATGTCACTAAATCTATATGCCAACATTCTAATTATAGTTTCCTTCAAATAGTTGAGACCTTTCAACTGTGCAAGGTGCGTGGAGGGAGGTACGTGTTGTATGTCGTAACCGGTTCTACACGTTGTATGCGCAGCAAGATTTGCGCGTTTGCAGACAACCATAGACAGGAGTCTAGTTTAAGATATTTGTACCTCCACCATTGAAGATTTCAATCTTAGTTAAGATCGCGATCTTAAATCCAAGCCGTCTTACAATCGCGTTAAGATCGGTTTGTGCAAGTGGAATAGGACAATTGTAGGGTGATTATAAAGTTGATTGTAGCCGCCTAAGATCGATTGTAACTAAGATTGTTCTGTGCAAGTGGGCCCAGTGGTCAATTTCTGTGAAAACATTGTCATCTGATAACGTTTACATAAATGCCTATTCAGTACACATCTAATTAGTTTTAAAACATGCATAACCTTGTTATTTAAATTGAGAAGACAAAGGTTTGACACCAGATCATGTAACCAGATCCTTCAGTGAATGTGCCTTTGAGATCATATGACTTTAAAGTAAAGTGCTATTTGGTACATAACAAAGAGTTTTGAAATGCTTTCAAAAACGACTGTCGTCAACTACACGGATACATGCCACGCCGACAGCAACCGATCGACGGCAACAGCGTCTAGACTCACAGTGATATGAGATTTTTGTGAATGAGCCTTTATATGTTGAATGAGGTTTTTGTTTTTGCTACGCGTCCTTACAGTCTCAGGGGGTTGATTCGGGAAGGCCCCAAAATCTACCCGGGTATACTTTGAAGGTGTGGGGGTGGGGTGGGGTGGGGTGGGGTGGTGGGTGGGTGGGGGGGGTGGGGGGGGGGGGGGTGGGGGGGTGTGTATACTTTTAGACAAGAAACGGTTCTCATGAACGGCACATATGAACATGTTAGTTCAGGTTCGAGCGGGAAGACTCGCTATTAAGATAATTACAATGCCAAGACAAACTGCGGAGGTCCAAGAAACGGTTCTCACGACCTGCATGTATGATCTTGTTAATTCTGGTTCAAGTATATTATGACTGGATAAATTCTTTATGTCATAATGCGACTATAAAGTCAGTAGGACACCCGTTAAGATTTGTATATATTTTGCCTTTACAAGTGGGCAGAGATGAAAAAGCAGGGTGTGGTTTGGAAATGGCAATTCATTTTACAAGATCTTCTTTTAAAGACATTTTTCTCTGGACAAAGTGACGTCTTTATATTAGTCATCGACATGTAACAGTCCCAATAGAAAATCAAATTCGTTTGTATCTGAAGCTTTGACACCAATCATGTAACCGGATCCTTCAGTGAATGTGTCTTTGAGATCATATGACTTTAAAGTGCTATTTGGTACATTACAAAGAGTATTGAAATGCTTTCAAAAGCGACTGTCGTCAACTACACGGATACATGCCACGCCGACAGCAACCGATCCACGGCAACAGCGTCTAGACTCACAGTGATATTAGATTTTTGTGAACGAGCCTTTATATGTTGAATGAGGTTTTTGTTTTTGCTACCAAACATAGATATATCAAAAACTAAATAAAATGAAGACACTAATACAAATATCGAAGGTTTTATAATTAGATCAAAAGGCAATGGACTGAAAATTGGAGAAACAAACTAAACATATTTTTGCCATTGAGAGAAAGACGTCTTTAAACAAAGCACTGTTGAAACTTGAAACCAAAAACGGAACAACTGTGTCAAAATCAAAATAATTCATCAACCAAGTACAAATGTATTAAGATATTACCAATATCACGAGGATTTCGAACATTTGGTACACCTAAGCCTAATACAGATTAACATAATAGCATAGAGGGAGAATTAACACATAATGAAGTACCAAACGCCCTCAAACATAAAGGAAATGAAAATGTCCCGGACCATCGGGTTATACTGTCGAATTTTAAATATTCTCTTGGAAAGACGTTAAAATTTACTTTAGCATAACAAAAACAGGGATATATTACATCCTTGCCTCAGAACGTTGAACCAAAACACTTTCTCAAAACTTGGTAATCATTCACAATTCAGGGTTGTAGTCAACAAACAAACTCTCACTATTTCATGCAACAACCTCAGATGTCGCCGACCAGCACGTCGTGCTGTTCTCCAACCACGGCATCGACAAGCACGACTTCAGTGGGCACAGGGTCATCGCAATTGGTGTCATCGTGAGTGGAGGCGTGTCATCTTCTTTGATGAAAGTCGCTTTTGTGTCTCCAATGCAGACGGAAGAATTTGGCGACGTCGAGGTGATCGTTTCGCTGACAGAAACGTTGTGGAAAGGGATCCATGGGGTGGACCTAGCGTCATGATATGGGCAAGGATTGAACTTAATGCGAGACTTGGACCCATGTGCTTTCTGAATGTTGGTCAAGGTCGGGGACACGGCGTCACTGCTCAACAGTATATCGACCAAGTGATCAGACCCCACGTTGTTCCATTTTTTGCACAACATCAACAACACATTTTCCAGCAGGACAACGCTCGTCCCCATGTTGCCAGAGCTACCATGGCCTTTCTGCAACACAGCAACATCCGTGTTCTACTGTGGCCAGTCCTCAGCCCTGATCTGAACGCCATCGAACACTTGTGGGATGAGGTTCAAAGGCGTCTGCACAATGTGCGCCCAGACCCTACAACTGCCGATGAACTACGCACAGCTGCTCTGGATGTGTGCAGGAGGATCCCTAGGGCCTTCACAAATCATCTGATCCACTCAATGTACAGGAGATTCGTGGCAGTGATCAATGCTAATGGTGGTCATACCAGGTATTGACTGACATTTTGGGTATTGGCCCGAAACTGTGTAAGCCCTTAACATTTGAAAAAAAAACAAATTATATCATCTGCCTTTTCATCCATTAAACTGTCTTCAGTCAAATTTGTGTCAATCTTGCCCCTTAGTATTTCTTGTCTTTACTGTTGAAAATATATAACATGTATACTGCATACTCGACTTGCGTTTCTTTTGCGTGTGAGTATAAATATGAATAATTATTTGTTTAAAATCTGGACTGGCAACTTTCAAACTGGGCAGGTAACGTTAGTGAGTTGCCAATCCGGGTGCCTGGCTAGATATTTGGTGAATATTCACCACAGAATAAAGTGATCTTTAGGTAGATATAATACTCTATTGTATATCAAAACAAATTTTGCAACGTGTAAGCTGATTTTGACAGCCCAGGCCAAGTTGGACCAAACACTATGGAGGCTATGTTGAGAGTATAGAGGAAATAGGGCTTCACTTTGACGAACGCGTTCGTTTTGAATACGAGTTACTGTGGTCTTCTGTTTGAATTGATTTTGACCACGTCGCCCCCATCTTCCCGAGGCAAGGGCGTTAACTGACTGGACTTTTATAGTCAGTTAATTCCCTTGCCTCGGGAAGATGTATCGCACCGAACATTTGAGATTCCTATCTGACTGCACGAAGACGTGAGAAAAGAAAAACTTCCTTGTATGCGCTTAGTGACGTAAAATGTGTCATTTTATCTACGTCTATAGTAAGATATCGCTACGTCGTATGTCGGATAGATTAAAAATTTGTATCAGGAAAGCTGGAAGTATATAATACGTTTCAAATCCTGATTCATTTAACGAATTCGTTTAACGAATTCGCAAACTGATCGACTTCCTGGTTCTTAAGGGACTTACTCACAATAACTTAATTTTGTTGCAGTTTTGTCGTTTGCAATTGTTCAATAATGCCAAATGTGTATGTTAAACCAATAGCATGTATGTATGGCCGTCGATAATGATTCAGAAGTAATTAACCAATAATAACGTTGGTCCGTCCCGGCCCGACTTTATGATGAGCCAAGAGAGCAGTATGACGTTTACAGAAACAGGAAACAAAATCTTACTATCGTCGTTTTAGGTCAATAATATATCAATGAGTCGGGTACAGGGGGGAAAGCTGGGGCATTTAATTGCCGAGATTGTATGCCGAGTCCTTGAACAATAACACGTTGATGACATCTTGAAATTGCAAAGATTTTGTGCACGTCGCAAGAATCATGGACTGACACTGACAGTTGCCGCAGCGTTACAAGATGACTGGCAGAACTGCAGACCGGCCGCGAAGTGTAAGACCTCGCGTCACAACCGCCACTGACGACCGCTGTCTCCGTACCTTGCACCTACGTAACAGATTTGTCTTCATCGGCACAGACTGCTCGCACCATATACGTCGCCGAGTGCGACAGAATGGTATCAGGGCCTTGCACCTACGTAACAGATTTGTCTTCATCGGCACAGACTGCTCGCACCATATACGTCGCCGAGTGCGACAGAATGGTATCAGGGCCTTGCACCTACGTAACAGATTCCTGACTGTGTCTTCATCGGCACAGACTGCTCGCACCATATACGTCGCCGAGTGCGACAGAATGGTATCAGGGCCTTGCACCTACATAACAGATTTGTCTTCATCGGCACAGACTGCTCGCACCATATACGTCGCCGAGTGCGACAGAATGGTATCAGGGCCTTGCACCTACGTAACAGATTCCTGACTGTGTCTTCATCGGCACAGACTGCTCGCACCATATACGTCGCCGAGTGCGACAGAATGGTATCAGGGCCTTGCACCTACGTAACAGATTTGTCTTCATCGGCACAGACTGCTTGCACCATATACGTCGCCGAGTGCGACAGAATGGTATCAGGGCCTTGCACCTACGTAACAGATTCCTGACTGTGTCTTCATCGGCACAGACTGCTCGCACCATATACGTCGCCGAGTGCGACAGAATGGTATCAGGGCCTTGCACCTACGTAACAGATTCCTGACTGTGTCTTCATCGGCAAAGACTGCTCGCACCATAAACGTCGCCGAGTGCGACAGAATGGTATCAGGGCCTTGCACCTACGTAACATATTCCTGACTGTGTCTTCATCGGCACAGACTGCTCGCACCATATACGTCGCCGAGTGCGACAGACTGGTATCAGGGCCTTGAACCTACGTAACAGATTCCTGACCGTGTCTTCATCGGCACAGACTGCTCGCACCATATACGTCGCCGAGTGCGACAGACTGGTATCAGGGCCTTGAACCTACGTAACAGATTCCTGACTGTGTCTTCATCGGCACAGACTGCTCGCACCATATACGTCGCCGAGTGCGACAGACTGGTATCAGGGCCTTGAACCTACGTAACAGAATCCTGACTGTGTCTTCATCGGCACAGACTGCTCGCACCATATACGTCGCCGAGTGCGACAGAATGGTATCAGGGCATTGCACCTACGTAACACATTTGTCTTCATCGGCACAGACTGCTCGAACCATATACGTCGCCGAGTGCGACAGAAAGTATCAGGGCCTTGCACCTACGTAACAGATTTGTCTTCATCGGCACAGACTGCTCGCACCATATACGTCGCCGAGTGCGACAGAATGGTATCAGGGCCTTGCACCTACGTAACAGATTTGTCTTCATCGGCACAGACTGCTCGCACCATATACGTCGCCGAGTGCGACAGAATGGTATCAGGGCCTTGCACCTACGTAACAGATTCCTGACTGTGTCTTCATCGGCACAGACTGCTCGCACCATATACGTCGCCGAGTGCGACAGAATGGTATCAGGGCCTTGCACCTACGTAACAGATTCCTGACTGTGTCTTCATCGGCACAGACTGCTCGCACCATATACGTCGCCGAGTGCGACAGAATGGTATCAGGGCCTTGCACCTACGTAAC